AGGCCCCCAGCCACAAAGCTCCTCTCAGATTCTCTAAAGAAATACGCTCCCAAATTTGAGTTATTGTGATTATTAATATTATTAATAAACTAGCTTAGGCTAGATTAATATCCAGGAGCTACAATCTGGAGAAGGTCTGGAGGAAGCCCCAAGGGTCTGCCTTTAAGATTTGCATAGTGGCTTTATTTTAATTAGTTTACCTTCATCCTGAGCTCTCTGGAAACCCTCCTGGGCAGCTTTGGGGTTCTTTTAGCTGTCAAAATAGATACTCACACCTCCTGCCAACAATAAATCGAACACCACAGCTGTCTGCTGAGTGGACCTGAATTGGCAATTCCACGTCCCTTTACCACAAAAACTAAGGTACTGATTTAGCTAGGAAGGGGTCCTTGTTCAGACTTTACTAGGAAAGAAAAAGTTTGTCTCTGGTCCATTCCTGTTAGAAATCCCTCCCACCAGCTTACCAGGGGTATGGGGAGATTCCCTGGACCACCAGCAAATTCATGAATATTAGGAAGGACATAAATTAACTTTGTGTTGGTTTTTACAAAAAGTATCTATATTTGCATTTCAGTGCACTGAAGTATGAATTTAGAAAAGATTATCAGCCTTACAAACTGTACTATTGACATTGGAAGACAGATTTTCTATTGCAGACTGCAATCAGTTTCACTGAAAACATGCTTTCCTCTTCATTCTAGATGGGCAGTAATGACACCAAATCTCAGCATGAAAGAATGGTTGAAAAACACAGGTCCTAAAAGTCAGTCTCCTGCAGCCCCCACTGCCATAGCAGGTAGGTGCATAAGTCAGCTTTCCATTGCTGTAACAGACACCCGAGATGATTACGTGAGAAGGGAAGAGTCTGCTTTGGTTCACTTGAGTGTACAAACACAGTGGGCTCCAGAGGTTTAGCTTGTAGAGAGGAGTGTGTCATGGAGAAGTAAGTGGTAGAGGTAGATGCTCATCCCATGGCAGCCTGTAAGAAGTGTGGATGAGGACAGCCAAGGCTTCAGCCTACTGTGAGTCTCTAACATCTCCAAGTAATTCCAAGCTGGGGACGAAGCCTTTCAGAGGATCTCAGGGAGCCACCCCAGACCCAAATCAGAGCCCAGTAGAACCAGTCAGAAAGCCAGTAGTATCGGGAAATATTTTCTGTAGTTGATGAATGGGGCAAAGGAACTACTGGGGAGGGTCAGTGTACCAAGAGTTGCAGGTTAAGATGTCTTTATTCAAGTAATACCGGCCAAGCACAAGCCAGAGCGTGCCCAGAGGCAGCAAGCTAGGGAGGCCAGAGAGAGAGCTCCCACATCTCTACCGCACCTTATGAACCTCCCCACGAGTCATCCTAAACCTCCCCCTGACCATGCCCTGACAGGCATGGTCAAGCACACTTGTAGCCAGCCCTTAGGAGGCATGGTTACAGTGTCTCCCTACAATTCCCCTTTTAGTCTAAAAGAGGATTAAAACTTAATAGTGTAAAACATCCAAAGTTAACAATCATAAAGGTGAATGAAATACAAGAAGATACAATAATCTGCTATTGCACATCCTAACTATGTCTATTCCAGCTAAGCCCTAAAGTCATCTGAAAGGGGTGTCCAACCTGACCACCTCCTTCCAATCCCAACCCTAAACAATAGGAAAGTTATTCCTAACTAGGCTTACACCACCCTAATAGACAATAATGGGGAACGTGAGTATAGCATCTTCCAAGTTACTTCCTGCTGAAATGGGACGATGGTAGCCTTGTGGGGTCCTGTGGGAAGAAAATGTTAGTATAGTCAAAGTCTCCAATGGTTTATCTCCAGTCCATGTTAGATGGGATTTGCTTGATTGAAGAGCTAGGTTAAAATCCTCAACTTGATTGAAGCCAGTACTCAAAGCTCTGGTCGGAGTGTCAGTTGAAACGGAGTAAGTTAGATCCAGTGCAGTCCAGGAGGTATGGCCCAATTCCTTTTCCAGAGCATCCAGGGATTGTTGTCAGGTGGGTCTTCATTGGCTGTATGGGATTCAAATGTTAGCAGTTATATGCTTGCATATGTATATATGCTGGGAAAGGCAACCATGGGAAAATGACAATTATGAAAGGGTATAGGCCTTGAAAGAAAGAGCCAAGAAAACACAAAAGATAGTCCACAAATTCTTCATTTATTCTGTAGTACATCAATTGGCTTCTTGATATAATACAGAAACTCTAAAATTTAGTTAAACAACATGCTTGGATTTTAGGGGAGGAAAGCCAAATTCAACTCTAAGTCCAGCATTGATTTACTTGAATGGGGACTAGGAAATGAAGAGAAATGGAGTTATTTGAGAGACATCTGTAAAGTTTAAGTATGGCACATACCTTTTGTTTGATGGTTATAGCTACCTTCTTTCCTTTAAGTATCTACCCATGCAGTGTTCTTTGACTTCTGGATGTGAGTTTTTCTGTGAAGATAAAAACAAAGCACTTCCCTTTCCTTTGGGAGGCTTTAATTTAGTTTATGAGATATACCTCAGTAAATACTGGTCAGTCGTCCTTGTCGAGAGGGTTGTCTTTTTCAACTCAAATCTTGATCAATTTTGATGTTATCCAAAGTTTTTCTTCTCCTGTGGAAACAAATGCAAAACCCCTACCCCAACGTAACACATGTCCAGGAATACATTGATCATAATTGTCCATAACTGGAATCACATTAAAAATCATGTGCAGCTTTCTTTCAGCTTTAAACTTCCATTTTTAGTATTTTTATAGAAATGATGAGCAATATCAAAATCCCTCCTAGCAGGTGAGCTCATGTGTATTTACCTCTGCTTCTCATGGTATATGCAACACTTTTCTAAAGTTCCAGCATTTTCTGTGTTGCTTTGTCTTTATGATGTCCATACCTTTAGTTGCATAATATTAAATGCTACAATATGATAATTACATTATAATAGTACTATGATGTACCATAATTTTCTACTTTTTCATTGTTAGACATCATATTTTCCATAGTTTGCTACAATCTATAGTTCCAAGACTAGCTGATTCCTTTCTCAAAAGAATGTTTAAATTTTTCAGGCCTAGGGAAGGGTCACTCTTTCCCCTGTGGATCTGTTTGTTTGATTTGATTTTTGGTATCGAACCTTGCTATCTAGCTCACACTAGCTTCAAATTCCCAGTCTTCTTGCCTCTGCCTCCTGAGTGCAAGGATTACAGTTACAAACCACTGTACCTGTCTCAGAGCTACTTTTTTAAGAATGCAAAGGAAGCCAAAAATGGTCAGGGAAAAAAACTGCCAAAGTCTATGCATTTCCAAAGTTGCATAGTTCTCAGATGAACACACATACACATGTGTGCATAAATAAAAAGAAGTTTTAAGTTTTTGAGAGAGTAACTAGTAATTGTACAAAAGAAAAGAAAAGAAAAGAAAAGAAAAGGAAAGAAAAGAAAAGAAAAGAAAAGAAAAGGAAAGAAAAGAAAAGAAAAGAAAAGAAAAGGAAAGAAAAGAAAAGAAAAGAAAAGAAAAGGAAAGAAAAGAAAAGGAAAGAAAAGAAAAGAAAAGAAAAGAAAAGAAAAGAAAAGAAACCTTCACTTTGCTATTGCAATTGGTTAACTGAAAGCTCTATCTTGTGATAGGCGGGTCTCTATTACCTCTTGCCAGACTCTCATCAAAAGACACCAAACAGCTGACAGGGACAGTCCTACTAAAGCCAACAGACTATGCAGGGAAACAAAAAGTGCACAGATGGGTTCAGTGATACCTCCAGCATTGGCAGTGTGCTGGACGATGCAGACAGGGAGGTGAGCAACCTCACAGACCGGGCATTCCGGAGTTTGTGCATCTCAGAGTCCTTCCATGACTCTGACCTGACTCTGTCCCCAGATATCACCACCCAGGGGTTTGGGACTTTTCATCAGGGAACAGTGAGCCACACCAACAGGAAAAGTGGAATTTGGAGCCAGCTTCCATCTCAAGGCACAGAGCATTCAGGCTGGGCAGCCACCTTCCAACAGCAACCCAAATATGTTCAGGGAGAGGAAAAGTACCCCAAAAACAGTCCCCCAACGACACCAGCCCAGAGGAGACTGGAGGTGCCCATTTCTGGTCTGAGGAGCAGCAGCAAGCCCATCTCCAAGGTCTCATCACTAATCAGATCCTTTGACAGGACAGAGAATCAACCTTGTGACAGCCGGCCTCCTCCCAGCAAGCCTCCGGCTCTTAAAAATCCCTCCAAGTTTGCACCTCCCCCAGAAGGTGGCGTCAACTTCTGCTTTGATTCTGCCTTTCTAACTGTGAGGAGGGTGCCTGCTGAGGCCTCCAACACCCATCCAAGCAGCCACCAGCCTGGCAGGGTTTCTGGAGAACAAGAGTCTCCCAAGAACCCAGAAGTAGCCTGCCACAGCTCAGACAGCCACCTCCAGACACCAGACCGTATGGTTGACTCATTTGAGCCAAGGTTTCCCTCTCCACCTCTCAAGCCAGCCAAAGCTGAGCCAGGAAGAGGCAAGGAGTTGGCTCCCAGGGGGACTTTCCTGCACAGTGAAAACAGTGCTTTTGAATCATGGACTAGCCACCAACCAAAGCTCCCGGAGAGAAAGGACATTGCTGAAACAATCCCAGAAAGCAAAGCTCCCAAACACTATGAGGACATGCCTTTGTTAAAGGAGCCTCACCCTTCTGAGTCCAAAGTCTTCCCCTGCCAAGGCCCAGCTAACTGTGCCCAGGAAGAGACCAGGTCAGCATCCGGGTCTCAATCCACATCTGGAACCTGGGGGGCCAGGGATCCAGGATCCCAGGTATTCCCTGTGGAGGGAAATGCTTCACAGATTGACCCTCAGATGAAGCGGAGCCAGCCCCCCTGGAGGAAGCCAAAGACTGGCAAAGGAGGAACAGATGGTCCACATGATACTTTGGAAGACAAGAAACAGCCCAACAGGAGAGGCCTACCTCTGTATTCAAAGCTCAACCCTCAGGGTCAACTTCCAGAAAATGATGTTCTGGACATGCCAGAGGACTCCAATGACCATTACAGTCCCCCCTTTAACATCAGTGAACTCCTTACTCCAATTATACCCACCAAACATGTCCTGGAATCTTCAGACACCCAACCAGTGGAAATCATCCCATCCCCTCCAGGACAGTTAAATGGATACCAAGAGAAGGAGCCCAGTGAGGCTCAGTCTCGGGATAGCTACAAGTCCAAAGCACCAAGCCTGCTGTTCAACCTCAAGGACGTTAGGAAGCGTGTCAAGAGTACATACAGTCCCTTGCCTCTCTTAAAAAGCTTTGATGAGAAAACCAGAGGTAAGCTTGATGGCAAGCAAGAACCTGTGAGCAATGGGGTCACCCTTCCCAATGGGCTTGAAGAAAACCCTCCCACCCAGCTTTTGAAGGAGATGCCAGCTGATGCCCCCAGCATCTTGCACAGCAGTACCCAGAAGGATCCTGCTATCAACTCCAGTGAGTCCTTTGCCGACAACCACCTGACCCTTGGCTCCCCTTCAGCTAGCTCCAAAACCCACTTCAGCGTCAATGGGGAGACTACAGAAAGGAGCCGTAACAAGAAGGAAGATGCCAATGGAGTGTCAGAGCAGGGTCCTTCTGAGTCTGGCTGGCATCCAGATGCCAGGGAACACCTTCCCCGGAAACATCTCTCCCTGAAACTCCACAACAGGGAGTCTGAAACAGGACAGGCTACAGAGAAAATGAAGCCTCACCAGCTAGAGAATGGGCTCTCAAGATCCATCTCCCAAGAGACAGAGCCTGAGCAAGAAATGGGGCTCCAGAACCTACCCTTGAACCAGAAGTTCTCCCCAGGGCCCCTTTCCCCTGAGGAGGAGGATGTGTTTTACAGCGATAGCCAATCTGATTTTACTCCATGCCTCCAAACCAAGGCTAAATTCAGCACCAGCTCTTCAGACCAATCCTTTGCTTCTTTTGATGATCAGCATAAGATGTGGTTTACAGAAGGCCCCCGGGAAGACAGGAAGAGTCGTGTGAGTGCAGGTGATGATCAAAAGGACGAGAAGGAGACCGTGATGGAGAAAGATGAGCCACAGCAATGTGCCTTAAGCAATGGACGTACGGGTGTGGAAGAACACGGACAGGAGGAAATACAAAGGAAAGCCCAAGGTTGGTCGGGAGGGACACCCGGGAAAGCATCAGTGGAGGAAGTTAATTTCAGAGGCTCTTGGGTGGGGGTTGATAAGGATACAGCTCTTCCACATGCCAAGGACTCAGCTCCCTTGCCAGCTTGTACCAACAAGCATAGACTGTTCCCACTTAAAGACAACACACTCAGGGCCACCCCGGTGATAAAGCCTATCATTCTGCCTCTCCTGAGGACAGTGTCCTCAGAGGACTCACTTGTTGGTGGACACAAAGAGAATGAATTACCAAGGCAACAGTGGGGAGAGGATGCTGGTGGCCTCTGTGCCTCAGAAAGCCAGAAAATGCTTACCACTCCACTATCCAGCAACACACAGCAGACATGTGTGGTGTGTGAGGTCGGGGAAGAGGACCCAGCGCACACTGCGGCCCAGGCTGAAATTTCTCAGCAAGCCCGGAAGGGAAGTTTCTCTTTTCTACCACTGGTGGAAGAGGAGGGCAAGATAAAGCCACCTCCAGACATAACAGGCGAAGCGCCAGCGCGTGCTAAGAGCGGATCTGTGGAGTCAGGGAATCTGGCTGCCCCACAGCACATCCCCACCATTGCTTTACCCCCAGACGACCTAGAGGACCCACCCCACTCCCTGCCACTCCACACCTGTTGGGAAGAACAAGGTTTCCAAGGGCACTTTCTGTCTGCACCCAGAGCAGGACCTTCAGGAAGAAGGCTGGTCCCCAGTGAGGCAGCGACTTCCCCCAACCCCAGCTCTCTAGGTGAGAGCAGCACATGCTCTCCTGTGGCCAGCAGTGTTTGGGAAGAAGCTTCCCAGGCTGCTGGGGAACAGTGGCTGCACCAAGAGCCTCCAGGCCCCAGGCCCTGGGCCAGCCCGGGCCGGGCCAGGCTCACCCGGAGGGAGGACATGACGCACGGCCTCACATGGGAGGCTGAAGGCTCTGATCCCCAACTGGAGCGATTGGCAAATCTCAGGACCCTCTCTCCAAGAGGCACCTTGCTGGCAGACACTGCAGAGAAACCCGAGCCCCCTGCGCTGCTGGAGAGAGCAGCAGCGGGCAAGCCCCCTGCAGTCCCCCCCAAGACTGAGAAGGCCCTGCGGAGGGCGAAGAAGCTGGCAAGCAAGAGGAGAAAGAGCGATCAGGCGCCAGAAAAGCACACCGAGGCCTGGGAAGTCAAGTCCTTCACAGAGGACACACAGGGGACAGAGCTGAGGCCAGTGTCTCCAGGAAAGGGGCCCCGGCTTAGGTTCCCTGCAGTCCGCTCCCTACCCCCGCCCACGCACCGCCACTCGGTGTCCTGCGGCTGGGAGACCGAAGGGAGGCGGCCTTGGGGGCTCCAACACCCCATGCCCCAGTCCCCTTACCCCGCCACCCAGAAGGTGCTCCAGGATCCTCAGTCGGGACAATACTTTGTCTTCGATGTGCCTCTCCAAGTGAAAGTCAAGACTTTCTATGACCCCGAGACTGGCAAGTATGTCAAGGTCTCTGTTCCATCCTCGGAGGAGGCCTCCTCTGAGCCACCTCTGCAGGATGCCCTGGCTGCTCCCTACCTACTATACCCTGGCTTCCAACCAGTGCCGGTAACCTTGATGCCTCTGCGTTGCTCATCTCAGCTCGCAGCTCCCACCTTTCTCAGGCAGGGTTCAGGCCACAGGCCACAGAGTTCCCAGGGTGCTAGACTGCAGCCTCCCCCTGAACATCTGGGTGAGTCCACCCAGCATGCCTCTGCACCGAGGCCCTGTGGGCCTCCCCATAGTCCAGAGGAAGAGGGTGCAGAAGCTCCAAGCCTAAGCATCATATCCACAGACGACCTAGAGGACTTTGCCACAGAGGGTGTTTCTTGAGAATTGCAGCAGACTGTCCCCCAACTCCCCCCAAGTCAGAAAAGCTTACAGTCACAGATCCTATCCAACAGTGCCTCTATCTATCTCTGTCTACACACACACACACACACACACACACACACACACACACACCTTCAACTCATATTTAGCCATTTGAGATCCCTATAGTCCAAAAGGAAGTGTCGATCCCTGTGGGTTTCCTAGGGCCAAGATCCATTCCCCTCCCTCCCCTAGCCATCCCCCTGCCCTTCTCTGATCCCACAGTGGGGTGCATATGGCATAGGACATCAGCCATCCTAAGAGTTACTGGGTTCAGGGCACCCCCACAGTCTCCTTCCCAAGGGTAGGCTTCCTCAGCAAGGTTCCCAGAAATGCTGAGGCCTGCAGGGGGTGGGAGCCACTCTACAGGTGGACTCCACTATACCCAACCTGGGTGACACATAGCACCTCACAGAAGTTTTAGGTCCCTCAGGTGGCACTGGCTAAGGACAGACCCAGGGCAATCTTACAGAAGTGATCATTTGCACAGTGGTTTTTCCTCGTGGTGGGAATTTTGTCTCTGAAGATCTTCTGATAAAGCAAAGGCTACCATTTAAAAAGTGAAACAAGTTTACCAGTGTGGTCCTGTCCCTGAGCTCTTGTCTTTCTTCTGTGCCCATTCTCAGCCAGGAGGTAAAGGGTCATGGACCCTGCAGCCCCCTCCCCCAGAGCTGCCAGGACCTCCTTCCTCCTGCAACACCAACTCTGTACCTTCTCAGTCCAGGCCTGCTGCTCTTGTGGGAGATACAAATGATGGTCTGAGCCCACCAAAAGAGATGGCCTGAGGAAACTAAGTCAGATTGTTAGTGACACAATCCTGTGTTCTGCACTCAAAGCTCAGAGGATTCCTTAGTCCCTGGCCTCCTGGGATTTGGAACTGAATCTACAGAGGGAGCTGAGGGTGGTAACTTGCCTGCTTGGCACACTGTGAGGGTCAGAGAGAAGCGCCCTCAGCAGGCAGCCACACCAAGGAGGAAAGCCTGCCCAGACTCCAGGGTTTCCATTTTGCAGCCAGCGCTTAATTCCTATTCTGGGGATAGATGGGGATCAAGTCGGCCTCCTTTCGTGTTCAAAATATCAGCAGCCTTCAAGATTGTGTTCCCACATCCTGGGAGCATGGGAGGTACCAAGTAAAGTCTTCCACCCCCAGTCTGGTCACAGGGGTGCCATTTCCACCTTGGGAATGGGAGGTGTGTGCACAGCTCACCATATCTGAAAACAAGCTGTGAGCAATACTCTGAGTCAGGATTTGAATTCAGGATTTTGCATCTAATTATTTCCCTAGCAAGTGAAGCCACACCTGGGATTCGTGGTGGAAATACCCCCACAGACTTGTAACCTATCTGTGCCACTTGATTTAGCTACACTTGTCAGCCAGATGATAACTGGTCAGGAGTTCAAGACACTTGTCACACAAATGTGGCTCCTCCAAGTCATTGACAAAGAGGCAAGACAGAGGTTGTGTTTGGGTGATGCTACCAAATCACCTCCAGGGTCCTCTCCACTACCTTCTCATTTGACTAGAATATGAAAAATTATCTCATCTTGAAAGCCTCAAGGCCCCTAGAAAAGAAGTACCTAACAAAAGTTGAGTTCTAAGGCTCAGTAGTTACCTTAGTTAGAGAAACTCTGACCCCACAAGGGAAAAATACCTGGGGCAGTTTTTTCAGGGAAAGCAGTCTTGAAGGCAATATTGGCAGGGCCATAAACAGAGACAGAAAGCTTATCAGGAGGGTGTTTGGAGGTCAGGGTCAACTCTCCCTGGGTGTAGTAGAGGAGCAGGGCCTCTGGCAGATGGTGGTATCTACTCACATTGGGGAGCAGGGAAGTCATGGGTTCCTGGAGCCTGCAAGGCAGTCCTCGCTTACAGCAAAGCATCGTGGTTCTACATTCAAAGGATAGCTCAGAGAACAAAAGGTAAGTTCCCACCCAATGAGACCAACTCACTGATCAGTCAATGACAAAGCTCATTTACGCTTCTTTACCCCTTGTTTTTGTTTGTTTTGTCTCCCTTTCCTTCCTTCTCTTTTCTTTCCTGCTTTCCTCCCTTCCTCTTTTCTCTCCCTCCTTCCTTTTTACAAACTTTTGAACTATTATAGACACTCCAGTTGGACACTGAAATTACCAGGGTAAGATCTGGTCTCTGCACACTTGGAGTTCCAGTATAACAGACAAGGATGACAATTACCATCCCGTATGTTCAGTAATTTGGAGGTAGCTCTGAGGAGCACCTAACTCAGCACAGCAGGAAAGGGGGCTTCCTTGGGCAGATGGCATCTGAGCCAAGTCAAGACACCCAAGGTATCACATTGGCCCATGAAGACAGAAGGCCTCCACCAGCATTTGTTTAGCAAAGATGACATTGATCAAATACTAAGAGATTTGTCATACCATATCAGTACATTAACTTAGCTAATTATTCATTATTATTTCTAATCAGAGCAAGAACTGAAGTCATAGCCTCGTGGGATAGAACTATTGAATAATCCTTCAGCTTTTGAACAGATATTTTACTCACTTGGTTGCCCAAAAATATCCCTCCTTCTGCCACTATCTCTAACAAGAAAGTGTTGAGAAATATAAACCGTGTAGTTTGTGGAGACTGCAGATGCTGCCTCCTCTCCTATTTAGAAGGATCACCGTCTTTTATGAGCTGGAGCTCCTATAAGTATCTCCTGAGAGAGAGCCTAAATAAAGAACACCTCTCAAGGCACCACTGAAAACCATGGAGCTGTTTAGCTAGAATGGCCAAGAGCTTACATGGTGTAGTATGTTCCCTCTGAGCCTGCTCTCAGTCCCCCAAAAGGTACCTCAATGGCTTCACTTTACTACAATGCAAACAGTCTCACAGCCACTAGGGAGGGCCTGTGCCTCTGATGATCCTGGACAGAGTGGGGGTGGGGGCCTGCCTTCCTACTTGGTGAGAGAGTGGCAGTGAGGCTGGTTTACACTCAATGCATTGAACAGCATCGTCTCTAACCACCTGAGCTGACCCCACTTAACATGAGCAGATGGGATCATTGGTTCTTTATGGCTGTGATGGACAACAAAAGCCAAGAATCTCTTTACTAGGACAAGGATGGATTGGGATCTCACAAGGACCCGACTTAAAGCTTTCCATAACCCAAGCTATCTTGTAAGGAGCTAAAGTCTAAGCAGAGTGGCCTTATGCAAATAATGGGTGTCATTTGCATATAAAAGAGATCTCAAGGAAAATCTGAATTGTTTATCTGTAGAAAGTATTTCAGCCCAGACATGATAATGCAATTGAACACAGCTGTCATGTAGGCCCTCAACAACAAGCAGGTATAAATCCGAGTTGAGAAGACAACTCTGGGCCATACCATCAGAGTTTGTCATCATTCAACTCCACTTAGGCCTCCTCAGTGTCACATTTACAGAAGTCTCTGAGTAGAGGGTTTCTCCCTTCATTCTTCTGGGTGTCTTGGGGGCATGTTTAGAATCCTTCCCAAGACTCTGACCAACACAAGTAGATACTTGAGGAAGAAAGGATTTCACTAACCTCACATCCAGGGAGAGATGTGTAGTAGTTCATTCTCATGAGGCCTTAGGAAAAGCCTGAGGCTGTGTGCCTTACAAAGCAAAGAGTTTTGTTTGTCCAGGGTTCTGACACTGGGAGGTCCAGACAGTATTCCTATGAGAATCCCTGACTGACAACATGGTGAAAAAACAGGAGAGGCACTGGAAACCGGCTTTATGCAGAAGAGACATGCGCATGAGGCAAGAAGCATGACTTAGTTCTCTTGCTGCTGTGACCAAACATCTGGTAAAAGCAACTTAAAGAAGAAAGTTTAATCTGGGCTCACAGTTTGAAGGTGCAGTTTATCATGTCAGGGAAGGCATGATGGCAAGAGGATGAGGCAAGTGGTCTCGTCGCATCTGCAATCAGGATGCAAAGAGAGATACGAGCTGCTGCTCAATTCTCATTTTTCCTTTTTGGGTCCAGGACCCAAGTGTCACTTGCATTCAAGGCAGGTTTTCAGTTAAACCTTTCTGGAAACACCCTCAAAGACACATCCAGAGACTATTTCCATGGTGATTTAAGTCCAATTAAGTCAACAGTCAAGATTAACCACCACATAAGAGAACCAGGGGCCAGATCTTCTGGAACAATCCTTCAGAACAAAACTAGCATGCCCTTGCATGACCAGCATTAAGCCCTTAGTGGGTGTGCTGCCCTGGTGACCTAACGGTCCCCTCTTAGGTCTGCTTCTTAAAGGTCCCATTATCTCATTCCCACCATGAGGACCAAACTTCAAGCACATGAATCTATGAGGGACAAGCCACAGCAAGCATTGTTTCTCCTTTACTAAAATGTAGTTTGCTTTGTAATTGTTTTACTATCTCAGCACATTTCCCAGTTTAGATGGCACTGTCAACACTATCCTTGTTTTTATGTCATTGGTCCTCTTGGATCTGAGCCCTGACTCCCATCTTTCATATTCATCCCTCCTTTGTGTTACATTCCTTCTATCCTCTACAGAAGACTATCTCTAGAGAGGCCTTGCTGACCCCTGCCCACTTGCCTTTCTGCCTCCATGTCCATGGCTCTATTTTCCTCTGAATTTAGAAACATTAAGCCAATCTCTTCTTTCTCATTTCTAAACCCCAGAGTGTTCTGAGTGACTTTGGTCTGTATCTCTGTGCTTTTTAAAAGCCCTCTGTTCCTCCATGAATAAAACTGAGAGTATCAGCAGGCCAGTCCAGAGTTACCCCAGTGGTCAGAGTCCCACAGGACTCCAGCCAAGATTGCTCAAGTAGGAACCATGGATGTTCTCACTTAAACACATCCATCCGGTCCCACTAGGTAGTTTCACTAGGAAGGAATCACTGCACAGGGAAATATGAACCCAGTGGAATTTTTGCCCTTCCTCCCTACACACAGTTATCATACTGGCATTGTCTAGCATGCTGCTTTTATAAAAGATGAATTATTTCCT